AAAAAACAAAACAAGCCTTAAACAGTCGTACACCCTAGAACATTCAGGAACCAAAATCGTCAGCCGCTCACCTGGAAGAGGAGCATGCTAGCAAATCTCAAACTCACGAGGAAGAAGTTCATTGACCATCTGAATATAGATCTTAGATAGATCTGTAGAACAATTTTAACGTTTTTCATGCTCCTCTGCAGCTACGACATTCAGATTTATGACCAACTTCCTTATATTCAACGCATTTGCACGAAGTTCGACAACCGTCATAAAATTCTTCACGTAATTGTTAGATTATTGTAGCAATTTGTGGAACGTTTTCAATATTTTCTTCGTTTAATCAAGTTGGGCATCGGATGAACGTGCAAGAAGATTAATGAAATTTACTCTTTGATCAGTCACATCATCCAAACATTGAGGATCGTACAAAGTAAAGTTGCACAAACTGAGGACGTTCCACTTTTCCTACAGCCAATGTACCAAGACGATGTAATATTTCACGTTTGAGCCCGACGTTGGTCATGAAATCCTTTAATATTGTCACTCGGATCTTTCAGTCATGAGGCACAAGCGGTTAACAGGGACCCCCACTTTTCAACCCTGATTAGCCCCCTCAACCCTGAAAAGTGCATTGGAGAAATAATCATGTTGTAGTAAAATTACATTTTCAAAATTTTAAAATTTTATTCAATTTTAAAAAATATAATTTCACTTTTAAAATTTTTCGTCTTATTTGAAAATTTCCCTTCCAATAATGGGGTATCCCTTCTTATTTGAACTGCATGCTAGAGATCGAATGAAAGTCTGGATGAGTTTATGAAATATTTTAATTGAAATGTCATTCTATAAAATGATTTCTAGTCATAAACCAGTTAATCCAATATATATTAGAATTTTTTTGTTGTAGTAGAATGAAATTTTAATTAAGACATTTCATAAACTTTTTTAGTCTTCCATTCCATTTTGAACAAATAGATGCTGTTGGAAGGGAAAGCTTATTTCGGACGGAAACTTACCAAATAAAACCGTAAATTTTAGAATTGAACGAACATTGGAATGTTAATTTTTAAATATGAAGTATTTTTTTTAATGAAATATTTTTTTGAACTTTTATTTTTTGTGGGAATTTTTTTGTTGTTGTTATTTCTCATGAATCTCGTTCGCCTCGATATGTTTGTATCGTTGCCGACACTCCTCAAGGTAGTTGTGTTGTGTGTGGGATCAGTGAGGTAATGACGAAATACACCACCCACATCATTGTCTGACTCAATGTGAATCGACATATTGAACCGTGATGATCCTTCAACCGCCCTTTCACTACGTATGTCGACCACCACATTCATTTGAGTAGACGCTTGTCCGTGTGCGGAAACCACTCTTAAAAAAAATGTCGAATATACAAGGAATAACAAAATCATATGATAATCTAACTTCTATTATGCCGCAATGTTCATCGACACATATCAAATGATAAATAATGTGGATAACATTATCAAACTTTCATCAATCCTGAGAGACTTTTGGTAGAAACAGTTGGCCTAAGGGACAAACTGATAGCAATGACAGTCGAGGGAGGACGAAAAGTCGTTATGAACATAGCGAAATCATGAAAGCAAAAAGAGTTGCGGTACCTAGTAAACCAAGCTCAAGATAAACGAGGAGATTACCACGAGGGGGATAAATATTTCTACGTCAAGATGTATGATAAAATATTTAAAGAAATCAGCTTGTTATTAGTATGAAACAAGGAAACTATGGAGGTCATCCTAAGATCGAGAGAGGAAAGTAGCAAGTATGTCTTGAAGATGAATCATTCTCATTTTTTATACAACAAAAAAATTCTCATGAGATATGAAAGTTGAAAAAATATTCCAAAAAAAAAAAAAATCTTCATATTTATAAATTATCATTCCAATGTTCGTCTAATTCTAAAATTTCCAGTTTTATTTGATAAATTCCCGTCTAAATATGAGCTTTCCCTTCCAACTCCATCTATTTGTTCAAGATGGAATGAAAGTCTGGACTCTTGACGAGTTTATGAAATGTTTTAATTAAATTTTCATTCTACTACAACAAATATCTTCTTATTTAGATTGGATTAACCTATTTATGGCCGAAAATCCTTACTTAGAATGACAATGCAATTAAAATATTTCACGAACTCATCCAGACTTTCATTCCATTTCTAACATGCAATCCAAATAAGAAGGGATACCCTATTCTTGGAATGAAAGTTTGCAAGTAAAATGAAAAATTTTAAAATTGGAATGATATTTTTAAGATGGAATGAAAATTTAAAGTTTAAATTGTAATTTTACTATAAGATAATTATTTAATTCTGGAAAATTTTATGTCTTGAAGATGAATCATGCTCATTTTTTTATATTTGGTGTGTAGTGTAGCGAGGCCTCGAGTTGAGGTGTGACTTTACAGTTGGCAACATCCGTCACTTTCGGCTCGCCTGTCAATTGACCTCGCTCCGGTGCGCATCGATTGTGCAAAATGAGAATGAATCTTCCGCTAGAACGGGGAAAAATACACCGCCTTAATTTTTTTGTTTTGTGTGTGTTGTGGTTGTGGAGTGAGGCCCCTGATATGAAATTTTCAGACTAAGTTGGCAGCAATAGTCACTTTTGGCGGACCTGTCAGGGACCCTCGCTCCAATACTAGTCAAATGAGAATGAATATTCCGCTACAATATGAAAACTGGGTTGTGATTAATGTTTTATTTTCTTTCCTGCCAAGACATTTTTTTTCTTCTTTGTCTACAAGCAATGATCGTCACTCGGGATCACATTGTCTATTCTATGCACCGCAACCTTTTTTTTTCTTTTGAATTTTTAAACTTGTTCTAACCCTCCAGGGGCATCTCCCCGCATGATCGAAGGTGAAAAAAAAGGTTGGGCATGACACTGACGACTTAAACCACTGGTACTTTCTCAGCCAAAAAGCAGAGGTGCGACGGTTAACACGGAACCTCGATCCGGCCTCTGCCAACGGCCAGATACATCGGTCACCCTTGGCACGCAGCGCCCGAGGCCGATGGATGAGAAAGGCACCGGCGGTTTAACCAGGTAGTCCAAACACCAGGTGACCTTCGTGTTTATCGACTTTGAGAAAACATATGATCACGTTGATTGACTCTTTCTGAACAGATACATTATGAAAATGAACTTCGGTCATATTTCAAACTATGGACCAGGATATTACATCAGAATGACACCAAACAGCCATTTCGTCAAAATGGACATTTTTTGTTTTTTCGAACTAAATTGAAACTGACTAAATTGGCCCAAAAGATATCAATTTTTTTAGCTCCTGAGGTCCAGTGTTCTTAAAACGCCGTACGCCCTGGACACCAGCTAAGTCCAGATATATCTAGGGGGTCCGGCATTTTAAAAACACTGGACCCTCAAGAGCTAAACACTTTGATATTTTTTCGATCAATTTAGTTGGGTTCACTTTTGTTCAAAAAAGAAAAAATGTCCATTTTGATGAAAAGGTTGTTACCCCGAGGGTGCACAGCTGTGTACCTCTCTTGGTGACAGGAGGTAATTGCATGTTTGCCCCTTTCCCTAGGTAGAGCGGTTTATGGTGCAGGGTTGAGGCCTCCGGTGGGGGCCCGGCTAACACAAGGACCGAGCATTTTCAGGTATCTGTGCCTCCCTTGTCATCTTCCTCCACCCTGTGGAGTAACAACAGTGTCTAAGGTCAACACTCTCCCCCCCACCACACGCAACCACTCACACTCGCACTCACACCTGTGTTCGCTGAAGACCCTGATTACTGTTCGGGAGGACCCAGCTAACTA